TTTCCGTCGTGCACGCCGCGGCCCCCCTCTGCGCAGCCGCCCCGATGATCGCGCACGCTCCCGGGACGAGAAAACCCCACGTAGATGACGTGCTGGCTCATGAACTACACTTATGGAAAGAGGATCCTAACCCTTGGAGTTTCTGGGAGTGGCGCTCTAAGACTGGGCGTTCGAAAGCAGCTGGCGCATCCCGTAGCTCTGCGTGTGCTGGTGCAGAGAGCTCTTCTCCGCGGAGGGGCCGATCCTCCAGCATGCCGCGGAGAGGCATCCAGAGCAGGGCGCGCAATCGCAGCCGCAGCAAGAGCATCCCGAGGGCACGTGGATATCCGTTGGCGGGTCGGCCGCGTTGCAGGGCGCATGCGATGTACCCAGACAAGCCCCATGAGCGCCTCAGGAACACCAAGAGCGCGTCGAGACGTGAGCAAGAAGCTCGGACACTCCCCCAGCAACAGGCTCTTGACGAAATGTCCGGGGTTTCCACCGATCGGGCGGATGACGTGGATGGCGCGCAGGTCCGCGGAGATAGCAGTTCGGCTCCCGCATCTGGTCCTGCACCTACGAGGGAAGCGAACCACGCGTTTCTGGACGCTCGTATGACTTTGTTGGGGGAACACGTACGGCAGTGGGCTGTGGTAGTGTATGCACTGTATTGCAAAACGGCAGAATGTACTGTTTTCCATTATGATTCTGGGTAGAGCGAGTTGGGACATGGGATGTTGCTTCACTTTGACATCCGTTGGTCAGTTCTTCGATGCAGGTTTCTATAATCTATACTGGTGCTGCTTAGTCTGCTGAGGTGATGCTGCTGATTATTGTGCTCGCCGTTTTGGCCTCTGACTCTTGGAGATTGCTAGGTTTTTCGGGTGTGCGGCACTGGGCTGCCATGGTGCATGCTCTCACGTCCAGTCCTGGGGTTACCTTATGATTCACCGCTGCATCAGTACTGGGTGATGTCGTTACCTTGCCGCACCGGGAGATAGGCAGTATTATCGGCGAGGGGCCTGA